TGGTGTTTATGAAGAAGAAAGGGACTGGCTGTCTTGGATTTTCAGTGGAAGGAGTTTTCCACCCTGATTTATTAATTCAAGGCATCCACATGACCTGGGAAGTAACATTACCTCCAAATCTGCATTTATTGACTCTTTTTTTCAGTGCAGGCCAAGATTACATTGGCTGAGAAACCTATCTCGAGTACTTTTGTTGTTCTTTTAATGGAAATGCCCTTTTCACTAGGAGGGAAAACTTTAGCGACTGCTTCTTTTCAGTCTAAATATTTTTTCCGAGAACTGTGAAACTGTCAAAATGCATCAAAACAAAGCGTTGAGAAGTTTTGGTTAGGAGAAAAACTATGTTCTTCTTCTGTGTTTCTTCAGTCGTAGCAGAAATAGAAAGTGAAAAGGTGAAAGAACACAGGGCCTGGAGGGAATTCCTAGCAAGGGGAAAATAAAGGTAAAGATTCTGCAGAAACCCAAAGTATTATTAAAGGAAGAGAAACCAGAACATTTAGGAGATATGACAAGAGTCTGGGTTTTTAATTTATTTGCTCTGAAGTGCGATTCCTTTTCTCTAACCTTGGTGTTATTCTTATTTAGGACCTCTGTTTGGTTTCCCCTTCACGAGTCATTACAAGCCTGTCTTCTTCTTCTTTATTTTTTCCCCCAGATGCAGAGGTGAAGGCTCTGCAGAAGGCATTGCCTCCTGCAGCACCCTCCCCAGAAGGCTGCAGCCCGTCGTGACGGAGAACGGACGCTTCACATCCGAGCACCTTCCAGGTAGGGACAGCAAGTGCATCACGGTATCCGTTCCTGACGCCCTTCTCCGGTGACCTTTAAGGTCCGTTCCTCAGCAGCTGGGGTGGTTCTTGCTGGGGTGGTGCTTACTGGGGGGGCTTTACCCCTGGCGTGATGGCCCACACAAACCTGTCACAGCAGAAGCAGCTGCAGGAGGGTGGCTTTTTCCACCCAGCAGCAGAGGAGTTGCCAGCTGCAAACTCTAGAAGGGAGGGAGCGCAACGCTTCTGCTGGGAATGATGCTCGGTCGCTTTTTCCGCAGACATCTGCATCAGGGGGTAACAAAGATGGGGATCCAGCAGGAGTAACATTGCCCGCAAATAACAAAACGAGTGTCTCTGAATGGATTTAAAGGCAAGACTCAAAGTCTGAGCAAGCTGTAAGAGTGCCAGAATTTTGCTGTCTTTGTGGGTCTGCCTTTCCCTCACTCGCATGTGCCAGCTTCTAAAAATGACTCATTTCTTCTTAGAAAGCTGTCCCACTGCCTTGGCAAAGCCTTGCTGCGTGGGGCCTTGGTGGTAGGATTGCTTCATTTTCAAGGAAGTGCAGCTGGGCCGTGGTCATTACGTGCGTTGCGGTTGTTCAGCTACAGATGTTTGCAGGAAGATCTCAAGGATAAAAGGATTGTGGATCGTGTGCCTCTTGTGTGCTGCCATGGAGTTCGAGGAGGGTGTCCGCTGAGCCATGTAGACCTCGTCCCGTTTCAGCTTTCTGACCTTTGGTCCAAGTTCTGCAGAGCAAGTGTGGAACAACCCCACCTAAATCACGGGTGTAAATCCCCCCCGCCGAGCCCACCCAGCACATAGCAAATGCCAGGGGGCTTTCCTGGACTATTCTGGTGAACGAGGTGACAGGCAGAGACACGGCTCAAGCAAATGTGAGGGCATTTTGGGAGAGGGGGGAGTTCTGAATTAGAAATGCAACTTGTATAAAGACAGTGTTACGGTTTGGTCTCCTCCAATGATTGGTGTAAGCAGAAAACGGAATTTATTGCTTGCTTTGTGCTGAATCAGGTCTTCTAACTTGAATAGGAGAGGTTCCTCTTTTTACAGCAGCGATCCATCCAAGGGCAGTGAATTACTGCAGTATTCCCCACAGCCATCTGATGATAAGGGTATGTCCAAATGGTATATTGAGTGCAGACATGAAACCGCGCTGCCAGAGCTCTTGATATCTGGGCAGACTCCAGCTTTGATCCTGAAAGCTGTACGGCTGCCAGGAGAGCAGAGCCGAGCCCAACTTCATGCATGTCCCAACGGTCACGTCTGCTGGAACAAGCTCAGCTCATCCCGTGGTGGAGCTGATGGGTGTACCACCAGGGCTGTCCTCTCTTGAATGTGCCCAGACCACTACGATTCATGGAGATTGTTCAGGGGAAGTCAGGGAGGTGTGGGAAAATAAGGAATAAATTTGGAGAAGAAGCCACATCTCTGGCTGCCAATTCACAGGATGGAAAAAACCCCACTGGCTTCATAAAGCGTTTGCCGCAAGCTATTCTCGCAGCGCCGCCACGAAGGCCCTTCTGCTGTCAGAGGTGCTGGTGCCAGTTCGTGTCAATCACGGGCTTTTACTGCGGCACGTGTCCCCGTCGCAGCCGGGAGATCAAAGTCTGCTTCCTTCAATTCGCTGGTGTCAACGCAGCCAGGTCCCGCGTGGAATCCCAGGGAGCGGCGGTAGAAATGGTGCGTGAGATGAATGGATGTGAAGAAGCCCCCGGGAGGAAGCGTGTCCCTGACATTGCAGTGACAGCGGGCTGAATCTTCGCCAGGGGCTGAGACTCTCCAGACACACACAGAATGAAGGAAACCAGCCTGGGAGCCAAGGAGTTTTATTTTAAAAAATTAAGATGATAAAACCAAGTGTGATTTCCCTGCTCCTGCTCGCTCTCATTTCCTATCCTGGAAATTATTGAGAAAAACCTTTATTTCTGCAAAACTCTGGGTGGTTCAGAGCTTGACCTTGTTTTAGAGAGAAGATATTTGTCTCAAATACCAGATCTAGATCTAGATTGCTACCAGATCTCGGATTCTGGTTTAGGGTCAATTCTATTTGAATGGCCAAAGGCAAATACTTCAATAATATTGTGGCCTTAATTTTTTTTTGGTAATTTAATTAGGAGCTTGATCTGGTTTTGGGGCAGGACACAAAGTGGATTACAGGATCAGCTGGCTCTTTAATTAGGGCCGGTTTTCTGTTGCTAAGGTTTAACCTTTACTTGCACGGAGAGGCGATGACAGCAAGGGACGGAGCTTCAGCAGCTTGATCCCACGCACGGAGCGCCAGGTCAGCCCGGTATGCGCAGGATGGCGTGGCTGGGAATGCTCAAATCTTGCTTGAATCTCGCTGCAGCCATCCCGAAGTACCCACCAGCAACTGTGTCACCCGGCTATTTACAGAGAGCAGGAACTAGAGGGTAAATATTTATTTAGATTCCGAGGCTTAATCTGCTACCAGCTGACTGTGTGGAAAGCCTGAGCCTCCGCTCTTTCTACAGCAATTTATTACCAGAGCCTCCATCTCCTCTCCTTCTCCCAACGCTCCCATACACGTTCCCCAGGATTAATTCTGCAGAAAACGGGCATGGCTGGGGTTCAGATCCTCCGGCACCTTCTGGTCCTAGACCATCCTGGCAGGCATCCTGCCCTCTGCCTCTCCTCCCCCATTTCAACCGACTGGCGTTCAGGGGTAGAAGTTGCAAATCCAGGCACCCAGGGAGGGTAACGGCACGAAGCTGTCACCGCTCCGTCGGAGAGGCGGACTGGTTTGCCATGAGGCGGGATGGGAGCTGCGCTGTCCCCCGGATTCAGCGCTGAGCTGGCTGAACGACGCCGATGTTCTGCAGGCTGAGGAGGCAGAGCTGCCCCTGCTGCAAAGCCACCTCTGGTGCACCGCAGAGTCCACCAGCGGCTGCAAATCCTGCCGCTGCCCACCCCCTTCCTTTTCTCAACCAGAACAACTGATGGAGGGCAGGGAGAGGGAAACTGGGAGGGTGCTCCGTGTTCATCAGCAAGGACCGACGGAGGCAACATCTCCCCTGCCCCACTGCAGTCACCGTGGGCTGCCCTGGGCCCAGTGCCTCCCACCACAACCAGTGACCAAGAGACCGGGGCTCTGAGGGGAGGTTCCTCCCAGCCCCAAAAGCAAGGGCTGTGGTGACCAGTGCTGGAGGGGGGAAGGGAAACTGGGAGGGTGCTCCGTGTTCATCAGCAAGGACCGACGGAGGCAACATCTCCCCTGCCCCACTGCAGTCACCGTGGGCTGCCCTGGGCCCAGTGCCTCCCACCACAACCAGTGACCAAGAGACCGGGGCTCTGAGGGGAGGTTCCTCCCAGCCCCAAAAGCAAGGGCTGTGGTGACCAGTGCTGGAGGGGGGAAGGCACTGGGAGAAGTGGCTGCAGGCAGGGATGACTGGGGGCCCTTAGCACAGGTGGGATGTGTCTGTGCTCATTAGCCGGACCTGCTCATTAACAAGGCAAGTGGTCCCAGCTGTCCCACCCCAGGCAGCAGTGTTAAAGCATCCTGTCCCCCTACCACCAACTGCTCCTTTACCTGTTACAGACCCTGCTTGAGCTCTGCAGTGCCAGTGGGAATGGCTGGTGGAAGCTGGTGTCCAGACTGGTCCTGCAAGGGGTGGAAAGTCAGGTAAGCAGCAAGGTTTGTCTCTGAGCAAAGGAGAGCAGTGCAGGAAAGGGAATGATTGAGGGCAGCTTGGTGCAAGCTCATGTCCTGTCTTGGCATGTGAAAAGAGCAGCTGAAAGGGGCATAGGCTGGGGGGCTGGGCTGGTATTTGGGAGAAGTAGTCCAGGGTGGTGACTGCTGCAGGAACCCCAGGTTCCTATCTTTGTGCCAACCCATTCTGCTTAGTAATGAAACTTCTCTGTGTGGTCAGGTATGGTTGCTATCTTGCAGGAGGTATTGCAGTCATCCCAGTACAGGAAAGTGGTAGCATCTCCCCACCTTGTAGGTGTAGGGTTTTCCTGCCAAGAACACCTATTTCCCTTTTGTTTGCTGGAGTGTTTTATGGCAGTTGAGAATCCTTTTGTACTCCTCTGGAATGGATTTTTCCTTTGCAATTTCCTATCCTTATTGTTTCCTGCTAGGGAGGTGTGGACACATCAGAGATAAGATCCTTAACTTCTGGGCAGGTCAAGCAGCTGATCAGACAGCCGATAACTACAGCAGTCGCTTCTTCATCCCTGCAGTGTTTGCTGTTAAGGGCACCATTTCCCAGGGATGGCAAAGAAAGCTTCAGCAGCAGATTTCTCTCCCTGTCTGGCTCTTCAAGCTAGAAAAAGTGTAAGGCGGCCTGGTGTCCCTAAACTAACGGGACAAGTGAGACTCAATAGCTTGTGCAAATTTGTGCAGGTGAGCCTGTAATGCACCCAAGAGCTACCCAGGGCACCCTACAGCTTCTGGAAGAAAACCCTCAACACAGCCAGGAAAAGCGTTTGCACTGCATGTACCACTTTTATTTTCACATATATATATTACATCATTTTAAAACACAGACTATTTTGTGAAAAAAAAAAATGGATTTTTTTTCAGGTAAAAACGACCCACCATGTTCCACACAGCCCCTTTGCTTGCCACTTAAAGATGACCTGTGCTGGGGAAAGGCTGGCTTGCAGACAGAGCTCATTCCCCACCTCCCTGCTGCTACTGGGATGACCTGTGGTCTTCCTCTCCTCCTCCCCCTGGGAAGAAAAGGTCTCTCCCCTCCAGAGTCAGTGCAAAGCATGCTTTATCACTCCATCATACACCCCGTCCCCTTCTTGCAGCGCTGGGAGAGACTGGGGCTTCCTGGAGGGATGGAGAAAGGAGCTGGGGAAGGAGCCATGTGAAACACCGTGCGCTTTGATGCTGTGAAAAAGGCAAGGAAGAACCAGAATTAATAGTGTGGTTTCAAGTATATGCATAAAACCCATCACAGGGAGCTTCACAGAAGGCTGCCACCAGTCCTGACCATGAAGAAACCAGTCCCTCTGGGGCAGCGCTGGCCCCCACCAGCCTGAACCCCGCTGCACCCCGTGTTGGGCAGGGATGGCCCGGGGTTTGACTCACAGCATGAGGAATGGCTAGAAGGGAGACGTGGTTCTGACAAGCAAATGAACAGCTCGGGCAGATTCCTCCCTCCAGAAGGAAGCTGTTGGGAGGGGGTGGGAGGAAAAAACGCTCTCAGATAGGCTCAGTAAATGAGACTTTTCCCTCAGGCTCTCCCCCTTTTTCTTTGCACCCCTTATAACCTTCTGAAGGGAATTCCTCTGCCCACCCTCCCAAACATGCAGGCTTCTACTTGGACCAAGAGCTTTCTGTCTGGACAACTGCCTGTGCTATGCTCCCTTAACGTCTGTCCTGGGAAAGCCTCTTGCACAAAGAAATCCTCGCTGAAAGGAGCCCCCCTTTCCTCTCTGCACCCCTCGCTATGTAGGGAGCCAGCAGAGAGAGGCGCGAGGAGCCACGGTGCAGAGCTCGTGGTGTCGAGTGGGGCTGCGATCAACCGCCCTGACTTGCACCCACGTTTGGCCCCTCCAGCCCTGGGGACTGGCTCTGCTCCCTGGACAGCCTGCACCCCTCTTTCCTACCTCTGGGGAGCATCTCAGCCTTCACCGAGCACTGTGATGCTGAGACCATCCCATCTGTGGATCCCGGGGCTGGGCAGAGAGGGGAATGGCACAAGCCTTTCCCTGGTTCCTCTCCGTGCCCAGTCTGGGAGTGAGCAGCCCAGCAGGCGCTGGTACCGGGGGTGCAGCTAAGCTGTAAGCATCACGGAGCCGGTCCCTCCTCAGATGCGGTTGCTATGTAGGGAGCCAGCAGAGAGAGGCGCGAGGAGCCACGGTGCAGAGCTCGTGGTGTCGAGTGGGGCTGCGATCAACCGCCCTGACTTGCACCCACATTTGGCCCCTCCAGCCCTGGGAACCGGCTCTGCTCCCTGGACAGCCTGCACCCCTCTTTCCTACCTCTGGGGAGCATCTCAGCCTTCACCGAGCACTGTGATGCTGAGACCATCCCATCTGTGGATCCCGGGGCTGGGCAGAGAGGGGAATGGCACAAGCCTTTCCCTGGTTCCTCTCTGTGCCCAGTCTGGGAGTGAGCAGCCCAGCAGGCGCTGGTACCGGGGGTGCAGCTAAGCTGTAAGCATCACGGAGCCGGTCCCTCCTCAGATGAGGCCCCGGCTTGGGTCTCTGACGCCAGCAAAATGCAATGCTTGCACAGCAGCTGCCCACCAAACCCTGCGATGGTTTCGGCAGCCTTGTTCTGAGCGGGGGCGAGCCCTCCCCTCCAACCCGAATGATTCAGTGAACAACCCTCTCCTTGTGAACAGCCATGGCAGAGCCTCCTCCTCATCTTCTGCCTTCATTTCTCAGTTGAGGGCTTCCCAACTCTGTTTTCCTTGCTCACCAGAGGAACAAGCCAAAGCCCCCGGGGCCGTCATCCCCAGTAGCACCACAGTGGCTAGGAAGGTGGCAGCAGGGAGAGCCCACTGTGCAGTGCATTAGATGGGCTTGCTTTCGTACAAGGCTCACCAGGTGAATGGGTTGGTCGTTAAATGGAGTTTCCACTGTTTAAAAAAAAATACTGTAGCTGATCTGGGCTTTATCCCCGCAGAATAAACTGGTGGATTCAGCCCTGGAAAGGACATCTGGGGTATTCTAAGAATGTAGTTTTATCTAGAGCTCTTACTTCCATAGTAGAGATGTACTTTTTTTTTTTTTTTTTTGAAAAAAAAG